CGGGGTCGCCGGCCGGCCGCCCGCCTGCCGGTGCGAGTGGCCCGGAAAGCCGAGGGGCCAGCGCCTGGCCGGCCGCCGTAGCCGGCCGCCATGTACTCCCAGCTCTGGTTCCTGACAGACCGCCGGATCCGCGAGGACTACCCGCAGGTGCAGATCCTGAGCGCCCTTCGGCAGCGCTGCTCTGAGCAGGACGTGCGCTTCCGGGCGGTGCTAATGGACCAGCTCGCCGTCACGGTTGTCGGCGGCCACCTCGGTGAGCGAGGCGGGTCCCAGGAGGGCGGGGAGCCGCGCCAACGTCCCCGAGAGGTGGCCGGGTGGCGCGCTCACCCGGGCCTCCCCTAGCCAAGTCTTTCGCAGTACCTTTTTTTTGTTGGGGAAATCTCCTAACCTTGATAAAGCTTTCTTTGACCACTACCATCTGCCTGGGGCCACGGTGAGACACGTGATTTGATTTACTTAGGGGCACTTTGTTTTGTTAGAAACTCAAATTTACCTAAAGCTGCCCAAATGGTCCGGGAAAATCAACTCCCTCCACAAATTTACAAATTCTGCTTGTATTGATAACCCTGTCATTTCAAGGTCTCAGATTGATAGAAACCCCCACAAAATTTACAAAATTGTCATTAAGCTCTAATGTTTTAAAAAGTTTTCCAGGGATGTGTAAACATCTGTAATGCACTACATATAAGGATGCTCCCTAACAAGCAGCCCATGTCTGGGCAAAAATCTAAGAGCCCTGGAGTTCCTGTCAAGTATTAGGTGCTAGCGTAGACCTTGGATGGGCTTTCCTTAACTCATCCTCTTCCTTTAAAAGTGTTGAATTCTAATTGCAGAAAAGCCAAGATTTCAGTTACAGACCATTTTGACTTCACTGATCACTCCATTGCTGTGTCCACGAGACTTTTTTGGGTAAGATCTGGTCATCATCTGTGACCCTGACTTCAAAAGGTTAAATGTGTTTTGTTTTTTGTTTTTTTTTTTGTATTCTGAATTATCCTTAATATCTCTCAGCAGTCTCTGGCTCAGGGATTCACGAGTTAAGGTTTCTCCCTCACTTGCTGTTTCTGAATCTCTCCAAAACTCCACTGAAGGCGTTCAGTCATTCAAAGGGTTACTGAACAACAATTCATACTGTTTCAACCACACCTTTGTTAAAAGGCAAGGCTCATAATGGGTTTTCTTTGGTGGGGCAAAAGGTTCTGAATTCTGAACAAGCTACTTACAAATGAAATTTTGAATTGGACTTGTTTCTAAATTGGTTATTTCTGTTAGTAGTTCTTTTCATCCATAACTAACTAAACCCTCCCTAAGTAGTAGCAAATTGTATACCTGTTGTAGAAATATTTTGCAACCATTAGGTGTTTTACATAAACAGTATCTTTTCAACTTAAAGGGTACCCCCCACCTCCCATCCTTGATTTACTAAAATCTCAGTTAATGTGGCTTACTAGATTCCTGGACAGGGAATCTTAAAGATTGGGATTCTTTGCTACTGACAAGTATTTTGGTTTAACTTTGGGCATGCCCCTCTGTCTTTGAATCTCAAATTTTTCATTTGTAAAATTAGGGAAAAAGTTTCCTCTCGCTCTGAAAGTCTTTGTTTCAGTACCATACTCACATGGAATATTCTACTATATTTTACTGATCTTGATCAGCAAGTGGATCCATGGATTAAGCATTGGACTGCTAACCAAAAGATCTGCTGTTCAAACCCGTCATCTGCTCCACAGGAGAAAGATGAAGCACTCAGAAATCCTAGGGAGCAATTCTATGCTATCCTATAGAGTCCCTCTGAGTTAGAATCGACTCATGGCAATGAGCTTGGTTTTGATTTTGATTCTTGATGAGCAAGTACTTCATATATACATCCTTCCACTCCAGGATCAGTTTTTCGCTCTTCTTTCCATCCACCTCCCCCTCTTTCTCCCTTGTAACAGCTAGTAATGTGGGCTTGGTTTTTGGAATGTCTTTTTTGGCTGTTCAATTTCGTGACCTATAGGGGCACTTTGAGTTGGAATCAACTTGTTGGCAGTGGGTATAGAATGTGTTTTTTGAGATACACTAACCAAAATTTCACATAACATTCCAGTTGTAGACTTAGCTCTATGATTGTATAATAGTAGGAAAATGCTCTGTAATTTGTTTCTAAAATCCCATTTCAAAGAATTAGGCCCAGAAAAAAGAGAAAATTAAATCTGAATGTTGCAGCAACACTTAAACCCTTTTGCTTGCTGTCTTAAAACTTTATTCCTGAAATTCATGTGTGAAAGTATCTCAATATATCTACACACTAGGAGTTACTTTTTTAAAAAGAAAATTGTATGATGCATGGAGAAACAGAAACTGGTAGTATTTTTGTTTAATGTAGCTTAAGTGTTTTGCTAATTCAGAGATAGTCACACAGTGATTATGAGTCGGGCTGCTAACCTCAAGGTCAACAGTTCAAAACTACCAGCCATTCTGTGGGAGAAAGATGAGGTTTTCTGCTCCTATAAAGATTTACAGCCTCGGAAACCCTATGCAGGGTCGCTATGAATCAGACCGACTCTATGGCACATAACTACCACCACCACTATTTCTGCTCATTTGTGACTCTGGCCCTTGGGCTGAAATTCTCATTGCCTAAAACACCCAGCTGTCCAGCTTCTCCCACATAGTGAACTTCAAATCCAGCTCGAGTGGTACCCTCTCGAGCTCTCTGCCTTGCCCAATTAATCCCTCTCTTCCATTTTCTGCCAAATGGCATTATGCAAACCTTTTGAAATTGCATGGATTATATTTTAGGGAGTCCCTAGAGACACAAATGGTGAAGTGCTTGGCTGCTATCCAAAAGGTTGATGCTTTGACGGCACTCAGAGATGCCTTGGAAGAAAGGCCTGGCAACTGATTTTGAAAAATTATCCTTGAAGACCCTGCAGAGCACAGTTCTACTCTGAAACACATGAAGTACTCATGAGTTGGAACCGACTTGATGGAAACTGGATTTTATCATATTGTATTGCAATTTATCTATTTAAAGTCTTATCTTGCCCTCTGCTCCCAAGACTAGGGATGCCTCAAAGGTATGTTCCCTAACTGGCACAGTTACACATAGCAGGCCTTCAGTTCATCAGTTAATGTTTGCTGAGTGACTGAGTGAAGTGCCTTAAAGGCTAATTGGAGTATATGAGACTTCTTTCAGAATTTCTATGTTCAGGAGACCATGACTGGATGTTTAAATATGTTTGTGATAAGTCATACATAGTATGAGGACAGATTTGCTAGTGCGAATTAAGTCCTTTAACCATTCATAAACCTGTAAAATTAACTGACTTAATTAAATAGTCACAAACTCAGATCAGATGACCTGGAAATGAAGGTGTGTTTTATTGGCTTTAAGGAGCAGAATGATTCAGCATTCCTTCCTTATTTTCAGTTAAACCTTGGTAGCCATATGACAGTTTTTAGGTCAGGTTCTTTAATGCAAATTGTTCTGGGATACTTTTACTTGCTTTTAAAAATAATAATAATAATCAGGTGAGTAGGATTTTTTTTTTTAAGTTGTGGAAGGGGTGAAGAAAGGACCCTAACTAAGTTTCTATGAGGAAATGGTCTGACTCAACCTGTAAGATACTACTAGAAAGTCTCACAGAGAAAAGATTAACTTCTAAGAAAGGAGCTCTGGTAGCGTAGTGGTTACAAATCAGGCTGTGAACCGCAAGGTCAGCAGTTCGAAACTACCGGCTGTTCCGCGGGAGAAAGATGAGGCTTTCTGCTCCCATAAAGATTTACAGTCTCGGAAACCCTGTACAGGGTCGCTAAGAGTCGGGCCCGACTCCACGGCACATAACAACAACAACAACAACTGTATAAGACACACACAGAAGAATGTACCATGTTAACGTTTGTCTCACAGAGGTCTTTAACCTTGGTTCTTCTAAAGGTCTGTGTCCGACACCTGTGATAGCGTCACTATAGTGGAAAGGTCCGAGAGTAAGTGGAAGCACCTAGTATGTGGTATTTTCAAACTAATGTGAATGTCAAATAGATACATGTTAGCACATTGGTCCATATTTATAGCTCTAGGCTGACTTCAGTGACTGAGGATGGGTTGGAGGTTTAATTTGTTTTCAACATTAGGGGTTAGATCTCATGAACTTTGTTAAGTAGAGTTCTAGAATGCATCGATTGGGGTCCTTGGGGCATCTCAAAGCCCTACTCATAGATTTCTGAACTACCTTGTTGCTGTGACCATGACACTTCTACCATATTTGTTAGACTTGCCTGGTAGAAGGGTACAGCCATCACTCAGGGTTTTGCATGTCAGTTCTCCCCACCCCATATTTCCTTGTCACTTCCCTTACTACCAGGGAGGTCACTGACATTCAGGCACTTGGGTGTTAGCCTTAGCCCCACTCCAGCCCCTTCCCTGCATGGTCTACCTATTATCCTGAGAGGCTTCACCTTTGTAGGGTTTTTTGAGGCAGTGGTGACTCAGTGGTAGAGTTCTCACTTTCCATGTAGGAAACCTGGGCTGTGTTCCCAACGAATACAACTCACACACAGCCACAACCTGTCTGTCTGTCAGTGGAGGCCTGCATGGTGTTATGATGCCAAACAGGTGTCGGTGGCGCTTCCAGACTCAAAAAAAAAAGGCTTGGTGGTTCACTTCTGACAATCCAGCAAAGTCCTCTGGGTCACAGTGGTCTCATGTGCAGCTGGCCATGGGGATGACGCAGGACTGGGTACCAGTTTCATTCTCTTGGACATGTGATTGTCATGAGTCGGGGTGACTTGATGGTAGCTAACAACAATACTGTTTTTATCATGTGTGTTTGTTACTGTATTCTTTGTGAAATTGACTTAGCAAAACACACTCCATACAACAATTTCCACACACAGTATTCAGTGACATTGGTTACATTCTTCACATTGTGTCAACATTCTCATTATTTTCATTCTAGCTGTTTCACTCCTACTACCTTAGTTTCACTGCCTCCCAAGCACCTCATCCATATAGATGATTTTTTTCTTTTTTAAGAGCACAGTACTCAAGGGTAACATTCTGTACAACAATACTGTTTTACCATAAACCCATAACCTGAAATTCTCTATTTCTATTTGATCTTTTTACTACAAAAAGGCAATTCAGTACTCCACTATGAGAAAGTGATATGTTTAAGTTGGCATTGAGGGACTAGCAAAAATAATGGCTCTTCGGTCCTGTAACACTACTGTCAATACATTAATATCTCTCATCTCTTAATTTTCACA